CTCTTGAATAAACTTTCTTATTCCCCTTGAGATCAGTGCCGTGTTCTTGGGTTGACAGGTTCCACCATATTAAAGTGGGTAATAACAGACCCCACTTCTCTTTTCTTCACCATCTCTAAAATGGCATAGACATAGTTACAGATGCCTTGGTCTGAAACATTGTTTGTAGAATATTAGAACTAAAACTTATCAAATATCATCAGAAAGTTTTTGTTAATGGATGAGTTAAGAATTGTTTCATTATATATGCCTAGAAGCTCATTTCTGAACATGCCTTTAAGGCTCTTAAAGCTTTAAGGAAATCAAGCATGGTGGTACACACTTATAATCTCAACTCTAAGGAGGTAGAGGCAGAAGGATTGCCATGAGTTTGAAGCCAGCATGGACTACATTGAAAGTTGCAGATCAGGCAGTAAGACCTTGTCTTGAGGGAAAAAAAAAAAAAGAAAAAAACAACTTCAGTGCCAGAGAAATGGCTGTGTTTAAGAGAACATGCTAATTTTCCAGAGGACATAAGTTTAGTTCCCATCACCCAAATCAGGCAGCTCACACCCACCTGTAACTCCAGCTCCAAGGGATCTGACACCTTCTTCTGGATTCCACAGGCACCTCCCCCCCCACACACACACACTCACATAGACACACACACACACACACACACTCAAATAAGTAGATAGTAAAAATAAATCAATTTTTAAAAAGTATTTATTAAATAACCATATAATTAGAAGAAGCATTTCACTACAATAGTATTGACATATTCAATAACAATTTTCAGAGCTAAGATGCATCTCTTTCAAAATTGGCTGTAAATTTTTAGGTTTACAGTTGAATTGATACAGTTATACAATATTGTGCTCTGTATAACCCCTATAAGACATAAAATTAAATAAGGTTTTAAACTTTCCAAAAAGATCTCCATTTCACTCTTAAAACACAATTTCATACAGAAAAAATCATTTTTAATACAATTGACATTACAATGCACATGTGTTTCTAATCTCTATATATCTGATTATTACTAGTCACAATCGGTTACTTTCTGAGCTCCTTGGCATCTGAGCATGGATATAAAGTCATCAGGTAGATTTCAATGGTAACGTTTCTCACATCTACTAATTATTAAGGAGCAAATTTTTCGGCTTTGAAGAATTTTTTTTCTTTTTTCTTTATTTATATACCCACTCCCCAGGTAGCACCCTCCCATAGCCTCCCTTCCCCCACTAGAGCCCTTATACTCTGATATCCCTGCTACTGTCTGCTGTGTTGTTGGCACCCCAGACATTCCCCACTACTTGCCCTTCTGGTGAATCTAGTCAGCCTATCTAGAGGTCTTTGTTTTAGGAAGGTCAGCTGTTCTTCATCTAGCAGCAATCAGTTGTCTATATTCTTTTGGATAAGATTGGGGTCTGCTGTTCATTTTCCCAGTTCTATGCTGGGTTACTATCTGGGAGTCCCTTTGGCTGCCCTGGCCATCAACTCAAAAAAAGGTATCGCCTATCTGGCATTGTTGCTTGTTATATAGCCTTTAGCTATACATATGGACTCTTATGAAATTATGTTGGCCCATTTAATCTTTGGTTATACTTTCCTTTTGGGTGTTTAAGGACATACAGTTGGTCCAGATAAAACCGATTAAAAATAAATCAATTTTTAAAAATACTTAAAGCACCTCCTCCCTGGCTCTTACAATCTTTCCAAACTGTCTTCTGTGATACTCCCTGAGCCCTTGGTGGGTGAAGTTTAATATAGGAGTCCTGTCCAGAGTCCTGCAAGCTCCTGGGACCCTGCTCATAGGATTCTATGGCAATGATGTAAGCATACAAAAGTCCCATACAAATTCAAGACAAATATCCAGCGTAGAACCGGGGAAATAAACGGCAGACCCCAATCTTAGCTGAAGAAATATTGGCAACTGATTACTGCTGGGTGAGGAAGAAATGATCTTCCTAAAACAAGGGACTCTAGATAGGCTGACTAGACCTCAGTGGATGGACTTACACTGGGGAATGTCTGGGGACACTGACTTGACACAGTGGGCCTTAACACGGATGACCCATATACTTATGGG